TCGGAGGACCGGATATCGTCCGGAAATGGCGCGCATTCCGCACGACGCCGCTTGCCAAGCCGCAGACTTTACCGAAAAAAAAACAATAATCCTACGCTTTTTATGTTCACACCGAGTAACAAAACATGTTTTTTGCCTTTTAACTCATCGTTACATATTCAGCTCAACTTAAATGGCTATCACGTCTGTTAGGCTAGTTATTTTGCGGTTTTCTTGATAGCTTACTAGAGAATGAGTCAGATTCTTATTTTAAGTGAGCCTTTTGCTAGTTTACGTACTGTTATTATAAAATAAGTTAAATAAGTCGAACTATAGATTACGACATATTATTATAATTTCAATAAATAATTGTCTGTCAATTATATATTGAAATTATAATAATATGTCGTATATGTTATGTCGATATATTACATACTTTGTAGGGCATAAGTTATCTAGAATTATTTTTACTCCGCATTTATTGTTTAACGACGATAAGAGCTAAAGTAACAGCTGCACGCTGGCGGCAGAACAAAGAATATAGTCCTAACGCGTTAAATGGCTATGCAAATTATATTGTAACTCTGATAGTGTTTGTGCTTCCTCACATGGCTCTATTACACGCGGCTAACATATTATGTGCATTATCTCGAACTGATCGGACTCGAAGTTGTGTCGCAGTTTTAATGCTACTATTGACCTAAAGTTGGGTTAAGCACGTACTTAGTTTATTTATTGGCGATTAGACCTGATTAATTAATTATTGTTGTTGAAGGTAAATTTAGTAAGTTCAATAAAAAACAATTTCGTATCAATAATACACTATATCTTTTTTTAAGGACTAAAGTTTCAAGGCAAAATATGTATAATGAATAAATGAAATACTAGCAGAACCCGCGGCTTCGCTCGCCCTAAAACTACAAAAAACAACTCTAAAATGGTAGGTTTCTTACAAATTTTAATCCGCTATTTTACCCCCGTATGAGATGTATTTCGAAAAATGCTAAAACATTTAATTGTATTGAAGAGCATTTATACCAAGTTTCAAGTAATTCTGAACATAAATATTTTTTTGGATTGTATTTTCCCGTGGGAAAGAAATAATCTCCCGCGATAAAATAGCCTATGTCACTCTCCAGTTCTCCAACTATCTCCACACAAAAAATCACGCCAATCCGTTAAGCCGTTTCGACGTGAAAGAAAGACAAACAAACAAACACACTTTCACATTTATAATATTAGTATGGAAGTATGGATTACAAATGTATAATCGCAAAATTGTAGAAAAACATACAAAATCTTTAAGTTATAATCTACATCAGATAAGGTTAGTGATGTTACATGCGCGAGTGTAAATAAAGATTTCAGTGAACGAGCGTGGAAGTTCAAAGCAGATCACTTGGCTTAGGTACAACGACTTTTGCCCACGCATGTGGTGCTTGTTTTAATTTTTTAATTGCGTCGCCCACGTAAGAGACGAGTCGATGCGATCCCTACCAATTAATATAAAATAAATATTACATTAACTAATCTTGTCGATTAAAAGTGATTAGAGAACTACTTGAGTAGAAAAAGATAAGTTTTGTATAATTGTTATATATGTATACAACATAAGTCAAATAGGGAAGAAAAACTGGAAAAAAAAACAGCGAAGACTCATTTATAAAGGTAAGACAATAAACGCTCATTAAGTTTGAGAATAAAAAATAACATGATAAAAAATACGTGAGATTAACGACACAGGCACCGTTATAAAAATCACTATATTCATATATGACCACTGTCCTTTGACGTTGACTACCTATTTGAAATTACGCAGTAACTTAAATGTAACAATATAGGTACAAAAGGAATACGAAACAGTTACCTACAAATGACGAGCAGACGTTTAGACAGACAAAGCCATTGTCTCAGGCGCCGCTGCGTTTGGCGGCACTTATGCTAATTTCTTTTGAACAACGCTACAACCTTCCTTTACGGGGTAACAAGCACTTTATTACCTGCAATATTTTATTAAGAAATCACACCAGCCTTGATTGGCACAACTTAATAAAAGAAATAGTAATAGTTTTATGTACAAAGCTAATGTAAGAGTACACTGTAGACTATTTATTAGAAATCTGTATACGTTACGTGGATATAATTAAATTGTATTTAATAATTTTGTAATCGATTTGTAAGTAAAGGTTTGGTTGACATGCGTGAGCGCAAGGGAAAGCGCTTCACATTATCAGCGGAAAGGCCGTAAGGCCGTAACTGACGACCCTGGTACCGCCGTCCACCATTGGAGATGATTCTACGCCCTATAGTTGACGTCATTTCTCGAAATTGGGTTACAATGAAGGATAAACTAACAAGGATAACAGTTTTCCTCTACGTTAAAAACCACCTACAAAGTTAACATACCGTGAAAATATATTAATACAATATTAAATTATTATATCATATTTAAAAAAAAATGTAATATATATATAGGTATATAATAGAAAGAACTAGAAGATATGTGTACCCTACTCTAAAAACTGTATAGTGTATACCATGCTGTACTCAGTAAATAGATAAAAATGGCTATATTTTGGGTTATAATGTAACAAAGTGCAAAACTGAGGATTAGGCTAGAGTAAAGCAGGCCAGGACATGGGTCCCTTATCGCAGATAGCTACGTCCGATACGTCTGCCAACATTGGCTTATCGCCGTTCCACGAAATCATCCACAAACACTTGCACTTATCGCAAATTTCACAATCGCTTAGTGGAGGAAATTGTCACTAATATTAATATAGGTATGTTGTTAAGGCTGATATTACGAACTTACCAATTGTTTTTCACTTTTTATAAATAAATAATTATTACGTTATCAAGATCGTTTTCTATCTCATTTTATTTTCATTGTTTTAGGTGCAATAAAGAATATATTAATTAATATTAATATACAGTAATGGTTATACTTCTAATATAAACAAATGATATAGTATTTACGATGAACATATAAATGATTAAGGAAAACCTGTTGCATTTCCCGATCGTAATTACAAAACATAAATTTTTATTTCTCACAACAATTTCAATATCACCATTTAATGTCCATATGAAAATGTAACAATACTCTGTGCATTTTGCTATTGCGTATTTCTTATTATAAATAATGCGTTGAAAGATATGTGTACAACTAACGACAATTTGGCATGAAGCCCAAGAGACCAAGGATAACGTGCATGGGGGGAAACCTATATAACATATGTCTTTACGTGACAATAACTAACAAAATTTTTAAAGCAGACATTATACCGCATATTTAAATCATCATCGCGCCTACATGACAGCCTATAAAAATTTAAATATTCTCTTTATAGCATCGTCAATGTAAGACATTAACAATACAAAACTTGAAACTTGTTAAAGTGAATGAACAATGCGCCCGTATACAGTTTATATTTCATATAAAAAATAAATAAAGGCACTTTAACAGTTAATGGTTCGGCGGTAAAAAATAATTTAGACAAATATTTTAGGTAGGTATATATATAGAAGGTAACATAACGACGGTGTGTTGATTTCACATTGGCAAAGTACGGACACCGCTATAGCCTAATCAGGAACATGTTTTTCAGACGTATTGATTTAAATCAGTACAGACAGAGCAACAGATAACAGCAAGAAAGCAAATAATATATTGCAGTTGTTACTTGTTAGTTGTTACCATTGCAGAGTTACAACCCGGAATTTTAAAGTCCTTGTCGTTATCATTCTGTACATACCGATAGAACACTCGAAGTCCATTGTTTATTAAACAGAGCCAACCTATATTTAATCTTATCATGATGATTGTCAATCTATACTGTGAATGGGAATTCACTTCGTAATATGAGTATTCTTGACTATAATTTTTATAGAAGAACTTGTTTTATGGAAATTATAAGCAAAGATTTTAATACCTTCATCATCGTAGTAAATGTACTCGTACTAAATAATTTTGTATACATTGTAATAATCGTGATTGTAAAATATTTTGTTAACTGTGGTACAATGGTGTAATAGTACTGAATTAGATAAATATAATTTATAATTCATATTTAAAAAAACTTAAAAAAAAAACTGAAACAGTTCTTTTGTTAATTAACTGAGACAGGTAATGAAAATAACTATTAACAGGAAAAAGTTACAACATTTTGAAAAGTTATAGTAAACCAAAAGACTGATAATAAAAATAGGCGACCATAAATTGCTATCAAAGTCAGTAAGTCACATTTTTAATAAACGGTAGGCACCCATATTAATATAATATTGTAGCACTCTCTATCTGGCAAGAAAGATAATTAGAGGCTTACAGGCCTCTGTGGGCACAATGGTGATGCAAATAATCGCGATTATGGCAAGGTTGACGTCGGCTGAGGGTTCGTTCAACTGACCGCGAACGATGACACGGGGCGCGCGCGCAGCGTCGCGGCGTCACATGCGCACAGACACTTAGAGCTCACCACTCACATTTCCTCAAAACATTATTAAAATTAAATTACATGATAGTATAAATCTAAATTACTCAAATTCAACTAATTCATTCATAATTTCAATCCATTGCTTTACTAACAATGTTGCAAAGCATAGACCGACCGTACCTAAGTGATGCAACGTGCTGTAAGGAGGAAAATGTGGTAGAAAATAATAACAAGTCGAAAATAAACGCTAAGTTTAATGACACTACCCATGTAAATTAGGTAGGTATTACAATAAAAAAAGAACTCACCAAACTCTTACAACTGCCAGTGCAATCCAAAAACACAACACAAAAACTGTATCATATACCAATTTTGCCAAAAACTTGTCGTAACTTGATACAACAGGCGCGGTACGCGTGCGCGCAACGAAAACAATCGACTGACAGATGTCGGTTCGCGTCGGAAAACCCCTCAGAAGCTGCGCAGTATAGGACGAGAGTGTAAATATTATGCTTCGGCTGGACAAAGGTTTTTGTTATCTAAAACCAGTGGCAGTGAGCGTGCACAACACGAGACGCGCGGTCAGCGGTAGAGCGTGGAGTGAGGCTCGCGCGCCGGCCCCGCCGCCGTCTGATAAGCCTGGCGCGACGCCTCCCGGCGACGCCTACGCCCCACTCGGCGCCGGTGCATCGTAAACACCACCGGCCGCCCCTCTGCTCCCGGCGACACCGCCACCGACACCGCCAGACAGGCCCCCGCGCAACATGCACCGCACCTACGCAATTTCACAACTGCATCATATCGCGGCGCCTTGCTGCAAAATCGACAACTTTCGACTCCTTAAAAGACGAGGAAACACGCGACGCTTGCGAAACTACGTTGGCAGCCCAGATACCAATGAGAACAATGAGGCGCAAACAAACAGAACCTTTTTAGTGTCCTCCTAATTGGGCTGAAGTGCGTCGGGCGAACAGAAATTCAATATGCAACGCGATCCGTTCACTACATAAACGGAATAATTAAATTAGTGCAGACATGTCGAGCACAAGCGGCCGCTAATATTGGCCACCTATGAAGCAAGTTTTGCAATTCATTCAATGTTTACATAAACACCAAGTCCAGTGATTATTACTAAGTATCGTATAATATTGATTTAATGCTAAGGTTGTAGGAAATATAAAAAAAAATAAGAATCTCGTAAAACTTCAAAAATTTCGATGTGTGTATACAGTGTACACCACAGCTACAACATAACAATGCTAGGATATGTAGAGAAATCACAGCATATTATCATGGGGTTTCATCAGAAAGAAAAAACTAGCTAGTATAATCAGACTTAACAAAGCAGCCCTAAAGTAGGAAAAGGGTTAGGGCGGTATATTTTTTTTATAAATTATTCGGGCTAATATCATAAATGCATTCGGTGTTAGATCTTGCTTTATTGTAGTGATTTGTTGCATAGAGATTTTTATTAAATAATAATATTTTTTCCACAGTACCTGCAATGTATGGTGTTTCTCATAGAGCAGTTGCAAAAGTTTTGTAGCTCTAGCATAAGCGCTTTGGTGACCATTTCATATACTTATACTAGGTGCTTACAAAAAAGAAATTAAATTCAGATCTTTGAAAATAATCTTTATTATAATAATCTATGTCAAGCTACATCTTCAGCTAGTTTACTTAAGATATACCTACGAGCATATTAAATACAATTAATTACTTAAAACCATAACTCGGTCATGAGCAGTCTCATATCACTCTATATCCAATTGCAATTAGTAAGATTATTCTTAATGTAACATGTTATTTAGTTATAAAAATCTTAAATTCAATTATTGTTAATTGATAGGCGGAAATATTTCTGTCATTTTCATTTGTAATACTGCTTGTAATAAGCAGTAATTCTGTCTAGTGTCTATTTATGTCAAAATAACAAAGCCGATATTATTAGACATGAAGAATGAACCCTAAAGACACAGGGTACATTTACAATCATTTCATTTTACAATCGATACTTTAAGAAAAGAAATGGTATAAAGTGGATTTTATTGAAAAAAAAATCTATTGCGAATTTTATTGTGACAAAATTGTGTTTCCTTTCAAAAAATGAAATGCAATTACCGATTAAGCGAGGCGAGTACGAGTCGCTTATTTTACATAAAGTTAATTAAATGTATAATTATTTTGAACAAAATCGTGCCATTTTGAAAAACAAACTGGAAATATATTAGGCATATTTAAAAAAAAAATAACTCTAAATCTTAGATGTTCTCAGTGTTATGAATTAAAAGTAAAAGACTTCTTGAAATGTCTTGAATCCTAAAACAATAAATTCGCAAGATAACCAATGAAAATAAATTCACATTAAATTTAATACAACCCGTGTCATATAATCGTTTGTAAATTTGTATAAATTTTATATGTGTAGGAGTTGCTAAATACAAAATTGGCTTCGAAGAATTACGACAAATTACTATACCCTGCATCTGTACTACGACACTAAATCGCCTATGATTATTGCCTATGTTCGAACGATAGAAGAGTATCTAGTTATTACTATTAAATAAAATTATGACTCTTGCATTATAATACACATTAAACTTAAAAAACTTTAAACACGCTCAGATCACATCGACCTTGACAGTGACCAAACAATTCGCGCCAAATCTTTTAAGTAATTTAGAAACAAAAAACATTTTAACAGCGATTAAATAACAATGGTGTCAATGGATCCGATGGAATGCTATAAAGTTAAATTATCGTATATCAATAAAATCAGCGATGCAAACTCTTTAGAACGGGAAGGGAGAATCTTAAAAAAATGATTTAAATAACATTGACGTTAAAAATGCAGCCACAGTCGTAAACCTTTACGAGTGCATTACTCTCAAACTGGCACATCCGCGCAAATTATGCGGACCAGACAATTTGTTGTACATGTACATGCTTTTGAAATTTAATGGAAAGATTGATTGAGGTAAAAGTTAAAACTACCGCTCCACGCACAACAACCCAATCAACAATATCACAATATTTAAAACGTAATACAAGTAAGATTATTGGGGCTGGACAAAAAATTATAATAAGTATTCTTTTGTGATTTAGGAGACCAATGTCATATAGCTTGGTCCGTCAGCCGAGAAATCTGGCGAGACGCATTAGGCCCACATAAATTACGAGATTAATCTTTTCAAATAATTTGACCTTTTCATCTGACGAGGGTTCATTAAATAATGGCGTCGGTATTGGAAGTGCGCTTATTGTGCCGTCTATCACAATTTTTGTTGTGGGCGGGAGTGAACTTTATTCCATACAAATCCCAATGGAATTAGATTTGTGATTGATAATGAAATAGATTCTATCACAGATTGATATTCCTTGTTACTTCTTAATAATAAAATTATTTTATAACTTGTGTATAGATAAATAATAAAGTTTGTAGTTTGTAAATTAAACTTGTATACTTACATATTATGAAAATTAAAACTGCAGATTGTTATGTTTCTGTTCTGTGTTGGTATTACATTATTCTATACCATTATTTATGTGTTACCCATTTACATATTATTAGCTATAATATCTATAACTTTTTAAATATTCTTATTTTAATTATTTTTAACTATTACACAATTCTACGATAATTTGGAAATATGTACGAAGGAAAACCTTAACCTCTTATCATTGATATTCAAAAAAGGACTAATGCCCGATTTCACCAACAACCCATAAGCTACCACCTACGTATGGGATCCCTAGCTTAAAAGTCCCCTAAACTAGCCCCTAAATTAAATTTCGTTTTGCGATAGTCTTTAAGCTTATATTTCGAGCACCTAAATTTAGGGGGCCTTTTAATATTTAGGTGACCCCTAACTGTCGGTGAAACAGAAACTGTCCCCTAACAACCCCCTAACCATGCTTAGGGGATCCCTTAAACTTAGGTAACGTTGGTAAAATCGGCCATTAGAAGGATAAATTTAAAGAATTTTTTTTAGTTTTTTGTTCTAATTTAACTTAAAGTATATGATAAGTACATATATAAAAAATGCAGTATTGTATGTAGTACTAAACAAAAACCAGGAGCAAATGATCCCAGTAGACGAATGGCAAGAATGCGTAATGACATTTTTGTATTTCTTGAACATTGCAATATTTCATTGTGTACCTTAAGAGTTCTACGCAGAATTCTGTGAAACCAAATACTAATAAAGGACATAGGACTTTATAATAATAATGATACACACGTGCGCTCGCAGCAAGTATGACATCCTTTAATAAGGCACTCAAGACGGAAACGTGGAAAATGTCAGTAATCTGCGGAGCTGTAAGCACGATTCATGCCCATAATCGGAACAAGGACTTAGCAGCTGTTGTAAATATCAGTTCCATGCTTATTATTGTGACGTAATTGCTATTGGTTTGTGCAACAAAGAAAATTAAGTCCCAAGCCGTTACAACAATTCCTTTGTTTTTAGATATATATATATATATATATAATAATATATATAGTACTTACTAATATAATTAAAAAGAAGCAAGCATCTTTACTACGATATGTATCTATCCAAATAATGAAATAGTGGTCGAAGGCATGTTTTGTATGTCCGGCAAATGCCATGCATGCCAGTTTTATGACTCACTCGACACCCAATTCGTCCGCTTCACTTACAACCTAAAACCATCAGTATAACGGGCCCTTAAAAATGCCTTTCAAACGCAATTTATTATATAGAATGCCGTTGTCTTGGCAACTTTACAAGTTTGCGGTATTCCCTGACAATTTCATTTGAATCAACAAAGGAATAACAGAATAACTTTGCTTCGGTAAGCTAACACTTGAAGTAAACAATAGTTATAGATAAACATTTACAACAACTACTTAAAAGAATTCATAGATTCATACACACCGTAAGTCACTTATGAGGGATGTATTGTGAGGCTGTTTTAAAATTCTTATTGCGTTTGTTTGACCGCTGAGAGGCGGCCGTGACTAAAATGCACGACCCGGGAGCATCAATCAAAGGCAAATTGACCTTCTAAATGTACAATGATTTTACCACTCTGAATCGGAATATGGATTCCACAAAATATGATATTCAGTTATAATTACAGCGTTTTAACAAAAGAACAAGTACCTAAATTGAGGTAGCTGTGTCAAAAAACTGTACAATATTATTTTCCGAAGTATTTCTTAAACGAGGTCAGTATATGAATGTTTTAAACTTAATAAATATTATGCAATATGAATTCAAAACTAATAGCTTCTCACAATAATATATATTTTATGTTATTTGTAGCATGGATCTTAAAGCTTTTTGTGATAAAAATTGACTAATGACACTGACGTGTGGTCACGTTGAATGATTTAAATTTTTAATTATGATTAAGTTTTATAATACTGGACATTTAAATGTAAAGACATGTCAGACGAAAGACGACGTGGGTGGTGTTATAGTAGCGGAGCGCGCGAGACACGGTGCGTTGTTGATATAGTGCTATGCCTCCGTTAGCAGGTAACAAAGCTTGACTTGGCGTGAGAGCTAAGTTATGGTTTGACATAATTTACTTTTCCGAGAACAATATTCCAATTTTACTTTTGTCATGTGTGAATTAAAAAAGTACTTCGTTCTGTTTTTTTATAATATGATGTCGCTTCAATATATTATAGAATAAAACCATTTAAATACATAATTTTAATAAAATTTATATATTTAGAAAAATTAGTAAATATTAAAAGAAAAATACTTAACAAAGAAACTGTAAACTTTTATTTTTACGCATAACTTTGTAGAAGCTTATGAAAGTGGTTTGTCTACTAACAAAGAGCTTTTAGTGGTTTACAAAATCACTTAAGATTTGTAAGGGCTATTTGGGTTGTAACTTCTAAAGAAAGTATGGAAATTTGTGCGGGAGACAATGGACTAACACTTTGTGTAATGGACCAAAATGGATAACATTGGTCAACTTATCTGCGGCGAAGGTAATAAAGAAGTCAATCCTGACCATTACTGTTACGATTTGTACAACAACGTAAACGACAACTAAGTTTACGATGCTTCCAAGTCTACCACTTTTGAGCTCTTACATACATCTTTACATAGTATAAACTGAAGTCGCTTTCGCTGTTTGTACGCTTAGATCTTTTAAACTACTTAACGAATTTTAATACAGTTTGCAGCAATAGATAAAGTGATTCAAGAGGAAGGTTTATATGTATAATACATGTGTATTAAAATACATAAAAGTTGAGAAATTCAAATATTTGTATTTCATACTAACCGATAAAACGTACCTAGGAACGAACCTGAACGAAGCGATTGTCGCTAGTATTAAATATATTTCAAAGAGTTGCAAAGTTTAAGATAGGCATAATAATTAAGATATAAGATAGATACAACGAGAGCATAATTTACCTACACTAGCGTGGAATTTACTAAATATGTCTATTAGGTAAATATTATATTTATCATTCTAAGGAAAATGGTAAATAGCTACTTGCTAGTCTTCTAGCTTTTGTTTAACAATGAAAATGTAATAGTATCATTACTTAATAAATTACTTAGTATATGACTAGGTTATCCATTTCCGACCTGGCGATGATGATGACTCAAACATAATTCTAAGAACTCATGTACAATAAAGACATTAAATAAAGACAAAAATAAAGACATATACATAGCCAACTTATTTTTCATTTTTACATGTATATAGCAATTTAATTGCATGATTAATACAAACTTCACAATTTCATCTTGCAATTATGATTGTTAAAAAGAATGTCATTTGTGAATTTTTGAAATCATTTTTGTAAAATAGTGGGCAGGCGCTGTCTGTAACAAGTATATAACACCTTTGAGACGCCTATAACCTTAGTCTCTATCGTGACCATGATTGCTGTTAAGCATTCGAAACGTCGGGAACCAAAAATCAAAATAAATCCGCGAAATAATCCAAAAAGATAGTTTTATTTAAAAAATAATGTATTACTATATACCATTTCCCTATGGCCAATTCTAAGTCATCTACAATTAAAATAAATTGTCCACATCCGGCGTTTATTGGCTGCAGTCGTTTAATAGGTGTCGGTCAACCGAACCCATCTGCTCGATTTAACTAGTTCGTCCAATGATATTGTAATGAGGTTAATAATTAATTAAGGACTAAGCCAATATAACGCTACCTAGATTCAGATAAATCGAATGCACTATAATCTTAACACAATATGTTTCACTATTAGGTAAAAATCGAAAAAAAAATCGGTAAATTTAAGTAAGTACAGTTTGCACGTGAGCATAGCGCAGTGGGATTTCCACGCGGACGTGCGTTCTTGGAAGCAATACAGTGCAGGAGAAATTTCACAAGAGCGATGTAGGTCAAGTCAGCCGGACTTGAAGTTTTCGCCTCGCAAAGGTTACCATCGCTACCGGCGCGCTTGCCGACCGACAAGTCCGGTTGGGCTTGCGCAATTGATAGACTCGTTTATCAGATCTTAAAAGATCAGTTGTTTCTAGAACAAATGCATTAGGTATCTATCTAACATTTTATAATCGGTTCATTATAAAATATTATTTAATATAGTACATTATTATAGTATTTTGTTGCTTAGTATGCTAAATTCTACGGTGCACCACATTGGGTAAACCCAAGGATTTCATTCATGCTCAGTAAACGTATCAACGGAACGTGTTTGGAAAGTAAATAAGCTTGCGGTTAGTGACGCTTCCTAATACATTAGATAATTGCATATTAATTTTTCTAACCTAAATGATGACTAATTCAATGTCTTAATTTTTTGGTCTTTCATGTTACATAAAACTTTATTACATATTAAATTTCATTTGAACTATTTTAATCTTACTTATAATAATATTTTCCATGGTTTTTAACTTTTCTCAAGAATAGCCTAAAATTATATTTTTACTTAATTTAACCTCCCAGTCCCATGATACAATATTAGATTTGAAATTTATACTAAAATGTGATAAACAACTACCGTGTTTACTTAGGTTTCATGTAATCTGGGAGTACGGCAGTGTCCCCGACAAGTCGAGCAAAATAGGGCACACCGTAACAACCTTTTCTCGAAGCCATTCAGGACATTCAAAACCCCCCCGTAAATTTATTGTTAAAGTTCTTTAATTTAGTCACTCACCAATCATCAAAATTCGAAGGTACTTCTAGTAGTCACACAGGCTTCAAATTTTGAATATAATAGTGTTTAACCTATAAAGCATAGAAAAACTAAAACATCCCGCAATTCCGGTCCCGTTTTCTAGGTATACAACAAGCTCTATAAGTAACTTTGTAATCTATCTATACATAAAATAAAATAGTAACTAAGCTGAATCTGTACATTAAGTATTTTTTGGAAAATCTTATTGAAATAGACATTATTATCGATGCAGAGGCCGAATATATAGTTTTTAGAATTATTGTCTGTCTGTTACCGCATCACAGAAAAACCACTGGAGATTGTGATGAAATTTGGTATGGGGATAGCTGGTTAACCGGGTCAACATATATGATACTTTTTACCGCGGGACATATATCATTTCTGAGAAAAAATACAAAAACTGCAATGTTAGAGTATACTAATATGTAAAACTTAAGAATTTGGTTTTTGGTCACCTGAACGCGGGCGGAGTCGCGGGCAATGCTAGTCCTATATAAATAGATACGCGTTATATGCGATTACAAAGTTATTTTTGCAGTTCATACCTATAATTTAAACTACCCAAATAGGTAGGTAAATAGTGGATATATAGTAAGTCACAGACGATGTCTCCCATAATAATATACCTATACTCCCATAATAATATACTTATAAGTCGGCGCAGACACAGGAGATTGAGATCTTGACGATCATAATATAGCAGACAAAATTGAGTTAACTATACACACAAGAAATAATACCAGAAAAGAAAAAAAGGAGAACTATTTACGAAAAGAAATGAGATCCAACGGGATACGTATATTCCTAAACCATTTTAAAACTAAAACTGAATATAACACAAAATATAGTAGGTAGCCAATTTTTAAACCGGTAATTGTATCTAGGTATAAGGAAAATGACATTTACTGGCTACGTGATAAATGTCACATTACCTAATAATAATTCTTGAAACGTAGAAGGAAAGTCTACAACGCAATTCTTTAAAAGTTGACGTAAAATATCCAGCAGCAAAAACAAAAAAAAAACCTGTCAAAGGATTGCTATAAATTAATTTAAGTAGCGCGGTCGCCAGACTTCCAAGAAACTCAATCGGCGATGATAGGTGGGGAGATGACGTCATCGTATGACGTCATTTTCTAGTACAAAATAAAGTTGCTATATTTTTTTAAATATATGTACTGTGCTTCTTTTGAGTTGCATTCTTACTGATTTTTTTTTATTTTTACATTTCTGAAGCTTAAAAAAATAATAACTTTATTCCGATGTCGCAACCGGTTTGAATGCAGTTTTAACCTAGTTTAAATATGTATAATATATATGTACTTAGCATGCTAACGGAGTATTCTAAAAAATAAAATGAGACTTGTTAAATAAATCTGACGAAACTTTATGAAAAAATACTGGAATGATAACATTTCGTCACACACAATTACTTTTAACTTTATGTACCCTGTAACGCCATCTATCAGAAACTCAATGAATCGAAACACTCTTATCAAATATATAAGTGCCCTATTTTGTTTATTTTGTTAATAATGAGTAATATTATGATTGATAATATCAATAAAAAGTAATAAGAAATGGAAATTAAAATATTAGTTTCAAGTTAAACATGTAGGGGCACAACGCAATAAAATGTTAACACAAATAAATTTTCACTTGACTTGCAAATATTATATCATAATAAAACTAGTTCTAAAGAACCACATTTAACGGTATATACTTACTTAATTTACATTTACACTTTTGCGATTACAAAAGAAAATAGAACTATTAATTTAGTTGCATCTAGAAAAGTACCTATTTGAAAAGTTGTTTACTAGTTATGTCACGAAAGTGTATCGGCACAGAGTTCAAAAACAATGCTGACGTATAACGACAAACACTCACCTTTGCCTTATTATAATCCTCAATCTGGTAGTCGAACATGGTGGCGAACATAAGACTGTCGTCCTGTTCGCTGTTGAGGAGTTGGTACGGCACCAGCTGAGACATTAAGATAGCTTTCACAACGATCGCTCAAAACAACTACCCTCAAAGGGTTAAATAGTAAAACGAATGTCAGTTATTTCAGGCGCGGCGCTTCAATTCACTACTTGATAAGAGTATGACTCATACGTAGGTTTCTATCGAATACGTTCGCGTAGCTAGAATGTTTAATATCACACTGAGTCAATTCGCGCGGTCGCGGCTGGTTTTGTACGATCAGTTGTGACCGCACCGCGCACGCGCAGTCCAGTTTTCGGTGTCCAAATGTCTTATGCGACAAATATTCCAAGTATTCGTTTACCGAGCCAAAAACTTTTTGCTACTTTAGTCGTAGTTCAACTCAATGATTCAATAAATACTTTCTTCATGACATGCACGTGGCATAAGCATTAAGATTTTAAAAATTGGTTACATTCAGAGATAGATATATAGCATCGCGGTGTGCCAAATGAAATTTACAGAATAATATTTGGTAAAACGGAAATTCCAAGTAATTTAAGAATTCCTTTGCTTTATGAAAAGTTTAATACAGATAGACAGGCTCCCTGTGAAAAAATAATAACACCTCCAGGTAAATTTCTAAGAAATTCATTAAATTTCTAAGAAATCTATGTATAGTTAACTGTAACGCCGGCGTGTCCGCGGTCGTGGAGGGATTAAGGAAGATACTACTAATATGTATCCCTAGAATTATATAATTATTAATTATTTAATTTTATAAGTATTATCGAAGTGATTGAAATGTAATTACATCATTTTCATCTTTCGTTGAAATAGGAAATATTTTTATTGCGCAATAATAATCTCCTATAAAATACGAATAGTAAAAGTCAACACCATGCTGTCTGTTGGTTAATCGACAGACCGTACCACGTAAACTAGATATATATAATATATATAATACGTGATGTCACGCACGAATAATATTCATTTCGCACTAAACATGAAAAAAAAAGATATAGGTACCTACCAACAATGATAAGAAATGTCTAGAATAATTGAATTCCCTCGTTTATCATTTAGTTCTGAAAACACTGTTCAACTTTCAGGAATTAAATTGGAACAGGTAAATAAACAAAAATATTCCTCAACAATTTACTGTAACTAGAGCGTAATTACGTAAGTACACACAAGTAACGACATATATTGTCGGCAACGAAAAATGTAAAATTAAAAATTAAGTGTTATGTTTAAATCGAGAATCTAATTATTATGTTATTTTAAAATTTAAAGCATACTCTTCGTCTTAAAGGATTGTAGTTTTCGGCCTTGGCTTTGCTCATCTCGGCTTTGTCGATAAGATGCTACATAATAATTATATTCATCCAGCGTATAAAAGCTTTTTTATTTCAAATTTCACTCCATTTATTGAACGGTTACAACGTTAAGAAGTAACAAACTTAAACATTTACTTGCAAGCTTGCGCATTTACTTATGATATAAAGTGCGATTTTCTCACCGAAGGATGCACGGACACTTTTCGATGACCTAATAAAAATATTGAAGAAAATAAAATCCAGAGTTCAAGGCCAGATCACTAGCGATCACGCGATCTAGCTCACCCCATTTCTTCGAATTCACCATGAACTCATAGGTAATAATAAGCGTGTTCTCACAAACGGTAACTATGGTAACAATGTTTACATATTATGAAAAATGAATATTCATAAAAACACATGGCAAGGATATTCTTTAACGTCGTAGAATGTATTATTTCCTTACGTTCCAATAAGTACAGATAAGTGTAGTTATAAGATAAAGTAATTCATTTAATTTTTTACCAACTCCAAAAAAGAGGAGACACTCTATTCGGCTGTATTTTTTTTGGATGTACATATTAGGCAATATACGCCTTTTATCAGATGTAGTTAATTCTTTTCTTTTAATAAATAGGTAATCTCCAATTTAATACTGGTGTACTTTTAAGTCATTGAGGTCGAAAAAACAAAAGGGTACATCCCTTTTCTTATCATGATCACAATAAATTACAGTCAACGAGAAGAGAAGAATCTCTTGTTCCTCGAAGATTCGAATAGGAAACTACAGGAAATGTAAGACAATCTTGTCTAGTGACTTAGATTCGCATATTTTCAAAATCTAGTATTCTAACAAATGAACAAGACCTAATACGAATTGCAAATAGAATGGACTTTAAGCATCATAATACATATAAAAGCTGAATTAGCATACAAGAACTCAACGTTTGACATTCCTCATAAATATATACATACATATAGACTAATAAGGAAGTCTAAAAAGATTTAAAAATCTTACAGAATAAAACACATTGATAACAAACTGCGCATAAATAAATATGCGTAACTGATAATACGAAAGAAGAACATCACGAGACAGTTTGGACAATAGTGTCCAAACACTACTGGCAATAGGGCCCGAGTATTTGAACTTGCAACATTTTAAGATTTATTAGTTTTAATCAAGAATTCGTTAAATGCAAATGGGACAGAAATCAAGGAATCCGACAATTTCGTTAAACTTTTTTTTTCACGGTAATCTACTAATATTATTTGTTAAGAAAAGTTTTAAGTGTTATTGTTAGCTTTTTTCTTTAGTCATAAATTCAAAGATAGGACGCATGAAGTTTAGGCATGAATGACATTGTGTTTACATGTCTGGGCAAAAACATCCAAAATATTTTATCTATACTAATATTATAGTTGTAAAGTAAAGTTAACTAAGTAAAGTTGTAAAATCTGGATCTACTAAATCGATTTAGATGAAATTTGGTAAGAAGTTTGATAAGAATAGTTTGAGACCAAGGGAAGGCATAGGATACTTTTTATCCCGGAATTATCCCTTAAGGGGGTGAAAATGGGGATGAAAGTTTGTATTGAGAAGCAAGCTAGAGACGAACCTTAGCGAAACGAGGAGTCGCTAGTAGTTTATAAAAACACAAAAGGCGATTATTATTATTTAAAAGGCGACTTTGCTTGCCTCTCTTTTTGCCCAAAATTCATGTCTAGACTCTGGCAATGGAATGGCCACCACATCTACCTCACTGCGGGATCTCAATGCCTGAAATCTGCATAACTAATAAGGAGGTAAAGAGAGTATTGTGTAGTCTAGATGTGAATAAAGCCAGTGATCCTGATGGTATACCAGTATCTATGGGTACGCAGACGACAGCACTACTGTAGAGAGATACCTGCCGAATCCTCGGGCCAGTAGAGATCAAATTCAGTCCGAAAGAGAGGCCATGGTAGAGCGGTTGAATCTCACACTCAGGACAGTCTCCACTTGGGGTGATGCCAATCTTGTGAGTTTCAACGCCACCAAAACACAGGCGTGCCTGTTCACATCAAAACGGAGTCCTTTTACCTTGACCCCTACTTTCCGGAATGTGCCTCTGGAATACACTGACCGAAAAAAAAAAAAAAAAAACAAAAAATACGACTTTGTTTTATAGTTTCAATAAATACAATATTTAGTGAAAAGTCAATTATTTAATCAGTTAACTCTACATTTCCAAAAAAAAATGTAAACATAAGAATATTTTGTTGCGCAATCCCATATTACTCGCATTTTCAGTAGGTATTTAGGCCACATATTGAGGCGTTTTACCTATCACCAATACTTGCAATAGGTACAGAGGTGTTTATATCGTAGCTATAATTTATTTCTGGAGTACCAATTTCTTTAAAAATAAAAATTTCAAGGTATCTAACGCCAGCTATAAAAAAGTTAATCTGTCTCTTTTTATTTCATTCTTACAATAATCTGCACTAGGAAATCAAAACAAGTTATAGTTATTATATAATAAATTTACTATTATATTTGTAAATAATAGGTATATGGTCAAAGCGCGCCAGGCCACGAGAAATATGTAGTAATACGAGTATACCTATATTTTTTTAAATTAGAATGGGTCTTGAGCTCGGGTCATTTTATATTTTCTCAATCTTTCACTTCTAGCCTTGAAAGGAGCATTGGTCAGAAGCAAGGTCACTGAAAAATACGCCAGTAGGTTTATAGAATTGCAATTTATTATTTTATAAATTATATCCAGTTAACGGTTTTTATATAATTATTATAAGGTTTTTACTTTTTAAATAAGATTAAAATGATCTTTATTTTAATACTAATGGCTCACCCTCGCATTGCTCGGGTTCGTCTCTAGAAAAACAAAGACAAATCTATCCTACGAGAAACTTAAATTTTACTGGGATAAAAAGTAGCCTATGTGCTATTCGAGACTATAACTTATCTGTGTGTCTTTGTGCTTAATATGTCTAGATGAACTAGATCCGTTCAGCGTTCGGGCGTGATTGAGTAAGAAACATTCATCCTAACATCTAAACTTTCACATTTATAATATTAAAGTAAGATATGTATACTGCCTCGGTGGTGTAGTGGCTAGCATTTACGGCTGCACACTCGGAGGTCCTGGGTTCGAGTCCCGGGACGGGCCAAGTTTAGTTATTGAGTCTTTCTGAATAGTAAGTCTCAGTAACAGCCCCATTGTTTCACCCCCGTGCCTCGGAGAGCACGTAAAGCCGTCGGTCCTGCGCCTTAACTCTCACTGGTCGTGTCGAGTGGTCGTCCCACCAGAGTATGAGAGTGACAGGAATAGAGAGTGCACTTGCATGTCTGCGCGTACACTTGTGCAATATAACATCTCCTGCGCTGTTGGCTAATCTCAATGAGATTCGCCGCCGTAGCCGGAATCGGCTAGGAGAACATCATCATCATTATCAAGATATGTATAACACTTGAACTGTAATTAAAATCTTCAAAGACGTCTTAATTCATTTTGGCATTATTAGGTAGGTCCAGTGAGGCGCGCGTGCGCTTCATTAACCGACTTCCGAAAAGGAGGAGGTTATCAATTCATTCATTGATTGACTCAAAGACGCCTGAACCGATTTGGATTTTTTTTTGTTTCGAAAGGTATATTTCCCAGGTGGTCCCATATAAAATTTATCGAAATCGGTCGAGCGGTTAAAAAAAAAACTACAATAAATTATTTTTTTAAATATATTGTTTAA